CCTAGAACTCCTCAACAAAATGGGGTAGTAGAACGGAAGAATAGAACTCTGGAGGACATGACTAGAACAATGCTGATTTCCAGTGGTCTAGCAAGAAACTTTTGGGCAGAAGCACTAAACACGGCATGCTATATAATTAACCGTGCTATGATCCGTCCACTCCTAGGGAAGAAACCCTACGAACTACTCAAAGGGAGAAAGCCCAACATTAGTCATCTAAGAACTTTTCGATGCAAATGTTTTGTTCATAACAATGGGAAAGACAACATTGGCAAGTTCGATGCAAGAAGTGATGAAGCGGTCTTCCTCAGATACTCAACTCATAGCAAAGCTTACAAAGTTCTAAACAAACGCACAAAATGTGTGGAAGAAAGTATCCATGTAATCTTTGATGAAGCACTTGCCTTAAGACCAAGCCAAATTGATGATGAGGAAATAGGAATGACACGCAAGGAGATACTAACTCAAAGGGAAAGTGGAACTGACCATAACACCAACCAAACTGGAGAACCACCACTGACCAATGAGAATAACGAGTCTAGAACTGAAGAAGAAACTGGACAGACTTCAGCCAGTCAGCCCGTAGAACCAGAAGAACCAGTTTCGGATATTCTACACGAATTGGTGGATCAACCAAATGCTCCAAGAGGGTGGAAGCATCATCGATCACATCCCCTGGATAACCTCTTAACAGATCTAAATCAGGGAGTAACTACTAGATCTAAACTTAGAAATTTTTGTGCTTTCTTTGCTTATTTATCTCTTATAGAACCGGAGAACCATGAAGTGGCTCTCTCCGATGCTGACTGGGTTCTAGCTATGCAGGAAGAACTAAATCAGTTCGAAAGGAACAAGGTGTGGCATCTAGAACCAAGACCTAAGAACAAAACTGTGATAGGTCTCAAATGGGTATTTAAGAACAAGCTTGATGAACATGGACAAATCACAAGGAACAAGGCGAGGCTTGTTGTAAAAGGCTATAACCAACAAGAAGGGATAGATTTCAACGAAACATTTGCACCAGTGGCAAGACTAGAGGCAATACGAATGCTCATAGCATTTGCGGCTCACATGGGATTCACACTCCATCAAATGGATGTGAAAACGGCCTTCTTGAATGGTTATCTCAAGGAAGAGGTGTACGTAGAACAACCACCGGGGTTTGAAAATCCAGATTTTCCTAATCATGTTTTCAAATTAGATAAAGCACTTTATGGTCTCAAACAAGCACCTCGTGTTTGGTATGAGCGATTGTCTAAATTTCTTTTGGAAAATGGTTTTGAAAGAGGAAAAATAGATAAAACTCTTTTTCTAAAAATAAAAGATCAAGCTCTATTGGTTGTTCAAATTTATGTAGATGATATAATTTTTGGTGCTACTATAGATTCACTGTGTGATGAATTTTCTTCTCTTATGAGTTCCGAGTTCGAGATGAGTATGATGGGAGAACTAAACTTTTTCCTTGGTCTACAAATCAAACAAACAAGCAAAGGAACCCAAATATCTCAAAAGAAGTACCTTAAGAAATTCTTCAAGAAATATGGAGCAAGTGAAGGCAAAACAATGATGACACCTATGGGAACAATTGAACGATTGGATGCAGACGAACAGGGAATAAGCGTGGACCAAAAGAAGTATAGAGGCATGATTGGGTCTCTACTATACCTAACTGCCAGTAGACCCGACATAGTTTTCAGTGTAGGTCTATGCGCTCGGTTCCAGGAAAATCCTAAGGAGTCACATCTCAAAGCGGTTAAAAGGATCCTCAAATATCTCAAAGGAACTTCGAATCTATGCTTATGGTATCCACGTAATGAAGATTTTAACCTTATTGCATATTCAGACTCTGATTTTGCAGGTGATTTACTAAATAGAAAAAGCACGTCTGGAACGGCTCACTTCCTTGGTCCCTGTCTAGTTTCATGGAGCTCTAAGAAACAAAATTCAGTTGCTCTGTCAACGGCCGAAGCTGAGTACGTAGCAGCCGCATCTTGTTGCTCTCAATCATTGTGAATCATGCAACAAGTAAGCGATTACGGGGTTAATTTAAAGTGCACGCCCATCCTATGTGATAACACAAGTGCAATTAGCATATCAAAGGATCCGATCATGCATTCTCGGACAAAACATATTCATATACGACATCACTTTCTGAGAGATTGTGTGGAAAAGGGGATAATCAGACTGGAATATTGCAGCACCGAGAAACAAATAGTTGATATTTTTACCAAGCCTCTGGGAAGAGAAAGGTTTGAACTAATTAGACTTGAACTTGGTCTAATTAATTCCTAAACTAATTAACTTGCTCAATCTCTTTTGGTTCCTTTTGTTGGATGACAAAAGGGGGGGAAATCAGGTGCCTCTTTATGTGTTGATGCTCTATTATTTATTGATTGTTACTAATCTGTAGGGATACCTTTATTATGGCACCTAATGTTTGTCATCAACAAAAAGGGGGAATTTGTTGAGTATGTTGTTTTGTTGATGACTAACCATGCAGGTGGAACGGCGGACAGAACTGCTCTCAGTTCTATCAGGAACAGAAATTAGAACTATACTTAGTTCTGTTCTATGTGACTGATTGTCGTGCATAATGAATAAATTAATTGATATGTGCCTGCATGATAATACCTTATCTACGTGCCTAGATTGATCATGCATATTCTTAATGTATGTGGCACAATTTAAATATCTTTCCATGCATGACTAAGCACTCACCTTAATGAGTTGGCCTATATAGCTTTATAGCTTATGGAAAGAATCATTGCTTATGCTACATAAATATTCTGCAGCAATTGACCGTAGCATATTTGGATCCACTAAGTAAATATTTCCTTATCACTTAATGTTGAAAAGTCATTATTAGTTAAAATATTAAATGAATATTTTTGGAAAGTATCTTGGCTTGCATGATCTGTAGCACCTTATTTGAATATCTTACTTATATGATCGTTGCATATTCAAATTTGTTAAGAGAACTAATCATTGATTGCATAAATATTTTATTGCTACATAATGTCCGTTGCATGCTTATATTAAGAGAATAAATTATTTCCCTTTATATGTGATGATATATATTCATGTGGAATTGTCATTGAATATTTAAATACTTAATATACTCCATATCTTTTTTGTTATTGAGTGATTTACTCATAGTATGCACGTATCCACTTGCTTCCATATATATATGGTTGACCGAGGATCACCATATTGGAGAGCCGGAAGATCTTTGAATAAAAGGAAAGGTTTTTGAATAACATCAAGGAAAGTCAAAATATTCAACCAAGGAAAGGAGAGGCTACAGATGCTATATATATTGGACTGAAGACCAGACGAAAGTGGTGTGCTTGACCGAGCTTCTATTGAGAAATATACACGAGAATATTTACTAAGTCCAAGGCACCTGAACCTGCTCACGGAGTTCCAGACAGAGTTTCTTTTTCCCTTCTTCATATTGTAATTGGGTTTTTGAGGATTGACTAAGTGTAGCATCCTCGGGTTGGTTAGTGTGTTGTGAGAGCTTTGTTGTAAAGCTGAGAGGCTCTCTACCCGCAAGGTAGAGATGCATAACTCTTCCTAAAGAGGATAGAGTTGGGGTGGCTCAAGGGTAGACTAGGAGAGTTTCCCTTGTAATCATTAAAAGGCTTTTTAGTGGAGTTGTTCAAATTCCTCCGAGGGAGGTCGAGGTTTTTTAATCCCTTTGAGCCAAGGGATTTTTCCTCGTTAAATCCTTGTGCACTTTACTATTTCGTAATTCCCTGGACCCCACACTAGAACTGTGCGAAAAACTGCCACGGTTCCACACACACACACAATTCACCCCCCTCTTGTATTGCTAACCGTTTCATCAGCTAGCTTATCCTTTCTGTGATTATACTTTTGTCTAGCAGCGCATGCTAACGTTAGTTGATGTCATGTGATAATTTGGTGTGGCTCAAGTGGTGGACAAGCAAAGTAAGTGAGGGGAGTTGATAATTTCGTATTTCAACACACATTTGATGCGTGTTTGGATTGCTTTTGTACAATTGCTTTAACAAAAATGAGTCACCATGTGCCAATTTCACTCAAGTTATGATTTATCAGGTTTCCGTTTTCATTTGGTGGTTTTAGATTTAAAATCAAGAAATTGAGTACAACATGGGTATCAGAGAGTTTCATTTGAGATCTGAGACACGTTCAATGTCAAATAAGGAGCAAGGAGAATCAATTATATGGATTTATGGGAAGAGAATAAATTGAAAAAGAAAGATCTCAAGGATTCAAATTCCTTTTTGTGAACTCACTTTTTTTTGCTTTTTGAATATTGAAGAGCATAATACGGTTTTTTGTTTCTAAATTCAAATGTATATTACATTTTGTGACATTCAAATGTATACTTCATGCTCGACAAATAGATTACGTAAAGGGGTGCATAAAAAATTACTTGTACCCCGGAGGGAAGGAGTATGATTTTGAATTTTTTTTCTAATCCAATCCTTTTTTAAAGGTGGAATTGCCAACTCCAGGCGCCCCGCACCGTGACCCGACAGAACGAGAGGAGTAAATCACGGTATGATCTCAAACGATTTTTGAATGAGGTGGTTTAGGATCTGTTATGCACAAGGAACCACCACATTAGACGAAACTCTTACACTGTCACTGTCTGGAATTGAACCTGAGAGCTCAATCCAACAACCTCACTCGATCAGTGTTGAGCTACTCGCACAGGTCAATTTTTTATTCTAAAACGATTTTTGATTAAATTTTCTTTCATCAATATAATAATCTCATTTAACTCATTCAGTTTTCGAGAATAGATTTGTAATCATTTTTAAATTTGATTTTTAAGGTACAATGCAATTTTGAAAGGTCTGTTTTCGAAATATATGATTTAATTACTAACATGCACTTTACTGCACTTAATTGTGTTTAGTTATCCATTACTCCGTATATTATTTGGAAGGGCTAAGAGGGAGCATGTATGTACGTAAGAGATGGCAGCTGAAAATTTAATGCCTTACGCTTTAGAGGCAGAATAAAGAGCGTGCAGCGGAGCGGACGGGATGGCCGCCGCCATGCCGGACCCAATATTGACTATCGCCCCTCTCCTTCGTTCAACCATCCCCGGCAACACTGCCTGAGTCACCTTACTCACCCCTTCCACGTTCACCTTTATCACCGCCGACAGCAGCTTCTCATCCACCTCGTCGAAGAACCTCGCGTACGGATAAGTCACCCCCACGTTGTTCACCAGCACTCCCACGTCCAGCCCCTCGACCGCCTCCCGGACTCGCCGAACGCCGCCGTCCAAATCGCCGGAGAAGTCAACCAGCACGGTCTTAACCTTCAGGCCCTCGTACTTGCCCTGTATCCCATCGGAAACCTCTTTCAGCTTCATCGGGTTCCGACCCACCAGAACTACGTTGAGCCCCTCCTGAGCCAGCTGGAAAGCGAATGCCTTTCCGATGCCGTCAGTGGGTCCGGTCACCAGAGCCCACGACCCGTATTTCTTGAGATTTTTCGCGGGCCGGAGGAAATAGGCGTGGACCCATTTCAGAACGGATAAAGTGAAGGACAAGAGTTTGCAGAGGCCGAGGGGCAGGAGTAGAAGAAGCCATGGGTGTTGAGAGAAACAGAGGGTGGTTTCCATTGTGATGTCTGCTGGAAATTATCAAAAGAAACAAGAGATCATATGTCTTTTGGTGAAAAATGATACTCCCTCCGTCCCTGAAAATACTTCCAACTTTTCATTTTCTTTCGACCCAAAAAGAACTTCCCTTTCCTTTTTTTGGCAAAGAATTTGTGGTTCACATCATTTCTCTCTCCTATGCACAACTCTCCACCACATAATTCTCACTTTCTTAATCTGCGTGCCACTTTATTTTGGAAGTAAATTATGGGACTGAGGTAGTAAATCTATTTAAACCTTAATTAAATCAAGTTAGATTCTATGATATCCATATGGTACCATACCTTTGTACGTCCCATTAAAATTGTCTCATAATATTTGTGTGTGTCAAATTGATTCTTATTTTATTCTCATTTTATTATTCATTGTTAATCACGTAATTTCATTTTATAATAGTTGATGAATTCCTTGACATTTAAAAGTGTTACTTACGGATTATTTTTTAAAATACGTAGTATAATTTTAACATGGAATAGAAGGGGTGTATTACATACTCCCTCCGTCCCTAAATAATTGTCTTGCTTTCCTTTTCAATCCGTCTCGAAATAATTATCTCCTTTCCTTATTTGGTAAACAAATCTATACAAAATAGTGTCAAACAATGCAAAACAGTGCAAAACAGTGTCGCTACGGTGTCAAACAGTGTCGCTACAGTGCCAAACAGTATCGCTACAGTGTGAAGTCAACTTCACTTTCTTAATCTGTGTGAAAGTCAAACCAGGACAATTATTTCAAGACATACATATCATTACTCTCGATGACTAGCTATGCACTCCGCATATTGTTTTTATGTTTTGGTGTAAGTAGTATGTATATCTTATTGACATTGGCACGTGAGAATGTTATGCAGTTATTAAAGAGAGTATATTATATATACTTCCTCCGTTCCATGAAAGTTGCAACATTGGAATTTCTGCACTATTCACACACCTTACTTTGACTACGATTTTCTAATAATATATGTAATAAAAATATTATGTATAAAATATTAATAAATTTGTATTAGTGTAAATTTCCAATATATTAACTTTTTTTAATGTTTACTAAAACGTAAATAAATATAATTACAGTCAAAATTGCGCGTTAGCAAACGTGAAAGTCAAACTGTTGCAACTTTTATGGAACGGAGGATAGTATGTAATTGATATTGAATTCATAAAGTAATAATAAAGTAACAATGATTTAGAATCAAACAATTTTACCAAATTCGGTACAAGAAAATTTTAGTGGGACAGATTGAGAAGAAAAGATAACACAATACTAGCCAGATGGATAAGGTATTACAACATACTTCCCTCGTCCCTATTTAATGTTCTAACTTCAAAATGTATACAAATTAGGAAAATGACATTGTTTGACACCATTTTACATTGTTTTGCCCGCACCGTTTGTTTATCAAATAAGGAAATAAGGAAGTATATTATTATTACCTCTATCTCTCCTAATTTTGACATCTTTAACTTATGAAGTTAATGTACCAGTAATATAGTTCTATAAAAGTTATCAAACCATAATTATTTTAGAAAGGACATTTTCTAGAGTATGGAATAAGTTATTTAGTACTTCATCCGTTCCTATTAAAACTTTCAAATAGGTTTGACACATAGTTTAAGATAGTGGGTATTATGTAGTGGAGAGTTGTGCAGAGGAGAAAGAAATGTGTAAGAAATGTTGTGAACCACAAATTCTTTATTAAAAAGGGAAAATGAAAGTTTTAATTTGAACGAAAATGGACAATTGAAAATTTATTTAGGAACGGAGATAAAAATATATCATCAAAAGTTTAATTCGATTGGCAAAAACATTCATGCCAAAACTGTAAGGGACAGTGAGCAATTAATTGATTAATAATCATCAATGTTTGGGTGAAGTTTCAGAACGTACAGAGCATGGAGCAGCTGAGAGGACCACTGTTAGGTTTCCTCCTGATATTGACAGAAGCTTTGAATGGATGTTAGCAGAGCTATTGATTCACATATACTCCTCCATCCCTTAAAACTTTGTCATCTTTTCTTTTTGGAACGTTCTAAAAAACTTTGTCACTTTCCTATTAAATCAATTATTTTGTGATTCCGTGCACAACATTGTCCACCTCTTCCATGCACGTTTTCTAGCATTAAACGTAAAAGGGAATAGTAGTCTTTACTTCGTGCTGACCAAGGTCTTTAAGCGTACAGTGCTACTGGTGTGTACCCATCTGATGCGCCATCACACCCCAATCATACTGCAGGAAGTTATAGAGAAATTGAAGTAATTTCAAACTCAAATATGGACACTAGTTCAAAACAAGATCTAAGAAAAGTTATTGAGACAAGACCTAAACATTTTTACATAATAACTTCTCATCTCAGTTTTTGGGATTTGAAACCCGAGACTTGTACATCGTGGTGCCTCATATTCAAAATAAGGCTGAATATGTTTTGATTTCTCAACATAAGGATATTTGGATCTACTTTTTAGAACTGTTTCTGCTTCTTCAGGGACAAAAGCATATATTGGAGTGTTTGGGTTAATGTGCAAAAAGTTGGAGGAAACCAGCTTCTAAAAAATGATTCTGATTCTGCATTAAAAAAGAAAAAAGAAGCAGCGGCATATTTAATTCGAAACATGAAACACCTCATAAACATTCTTAAATGATAATGTATAAGGCCTCTTTTTGCAAACAAATAACGGTACTCCAATTTGAGAAAAGTTTACTCTTATATAAAGAATCTTCTTTGAAGTTTAGATCAGAATTCACAAACTATGTAATTTTAAGATAACAATAATAAAATCGTGGACAATATTATGATAGCCTTTGAGGCCCATCATTATCTTAAGCGAAAAAGGAGGGTATTGATGGGTACATTGCTCTCAAACTCGATATGAGCAAAACCTATGATAGAATTGAATGAATTTTTTTGGATGCAGTCCTCCTTAGGCTTGATTTCAACGACAGATGGATCTCCATGGTTATGCAAACTGTGAGGACGGTGACTTACTCTATACCTTTTGACAAGTCCGAGTTAGGGCTTGTGGTTCCGCATAAGGGTCTCAGATAGGGGGACCCCCTCTCACCTTATTTGTTTATTCTTGTTGCGGAGGGGTTGAGTGCTCGTTTGAGACCCGAAGAGGTGGCATGCAGACTTCATGGTATGAGCGGAAGAGGTTGCTAGAGGGGCTCCTTGTATTTCTCATCTCTTGTTTGCCGACGATTGTTTTTTATTTTTCTAAAGCCACGCACGAAAAAATATGGGGGCATGGGTTTCAGGAGGATTTGTGACTTCAATCTTGCTGTGACGGGGAAATAGGCGTGGAGACTCTTTACTAAACCGGATTCGCTACTTTCCAAGGTCTTCAAAGCCAGGTATTTTGCCCAGTCATCTTTTTTGGATTAAAAAATTGGAGGATCTCCATCTTTTATCTAGAGGAGTATTATGGAAGCAAAGTCTGACATTATTAATAACTTTAGGTGGCGCATTGGTGACGGAAAGATTGTGAATATTTGGAGGGACCCTTGGCTACTGGATTCCTTAAATCCTAGGACTATGGATGGACTCGGGTCCGGGCCGGGTCCGGGCCGGGCCTAGGCCCGGGCGGGCCGGTGGGTCAGAAATGGTGGACCCGGGACCGGCCCGGGTAACCACCGGGTCCGGTCCGGGCCGGGCCCATTATATTTTTTTTTGTTTTCCTCTTCCTAATTAACCCCCCTCCCACCCCCAACCCCCCAAACCACCCCAAATGGCCCAAAATACCCAGCCCAACCCGAAAATTTAAAAAAAATTGAAAACAAAAATAGTTTTTGGCCCGAACCGGGCCTGAGCCCGGCCGGGTCGGGCCTTATTTTGGGTGACCCGAGCCCGGACCGGAAAACCCACGGGCTGGGCCTACCCGGACCGGTCACTGACCGGGCCACCAGGTCGGGCCGGGTCGGAACAGTACCGGTCCCGGGCCGGTTCCGGGTCGGGCCACCCGGCCCGAGTCCATCAATACCTAGGACTTTCTCGCAGATTACTCGAGGGTTGGAGGATACTAAAGTGTGAGGTCTGATTTCAAATGAGAGTCGGGAGTGGGATTGGGATTTGATGTTTGAATTATTCAATGCTAGGGACAAGCATCTTATTTTGGGGTTGCCTCTGAGTCAAAGGGGGGTGCCAGATCGGATTTTTTGACCTTAAGAGGATAAGGCCCACATCTCGATTAAGCGCTGATATCACGCTCTAGCTGGGGAGTTTCATTCAGGGCATGAAGTCATTTGGGCTACAATGTGGAGGTTTCATATTCCTGTTAGAAAATTGATATAACGTACCTCAAAGTACAACAAGGAAGCTTAAAATTTTCCCAAATAGATCTTCCCTGATTATGACAAAACAACGAATATAACAATAATACTACGTAGATTTGAGTTAGAACTTACAGATCTTCCATCCTAGCGGTGATAATCCTTAACCTTAGATATCCACATGATTTCTCCTTTACGAAAGAATGGTTAGATCTCCCTGAGAGAAAGACTAGGAAATCTCTTCGCATGGAAGTAAACTGATAATACTGAATCTAAAAATTGGTCTATCAATTATATATAAAAGAGGTGGATGTATTTATACAAGTTCTAAACTAGTTTCCCGATCACAATGAAAGCATTCCTAATAAATGAGTTTTAGTCCTAGTATAACCAATACCAATTATTAATTAAATAAAGATATAATAATAAATAATAATAATTAAAAGGGTACGTTGACGGATAATGTACCGGGGGTAGCTTATCCGAAGGGTTATTACGGCGAATAACTTAGAGAGAAGTCAGAACAATAAGTAAGAGAGAGAGTCAGGTATATTAATCAATTCTGATCTGGGATCCTTTACAAAAGGAATAAAGGCTGCTATTTATAGAAGCCATAAATGCTGGGAGGGGACACGTGTCAAACATCTGATGGCTGAGGGTCACCTCAATCGGGGGTGGCACCGGCATTTGCATGTGCATCGCATTAAATGT